AATCAAACGTATATTACATATCTCGTCTATTGATGTTATGGAACTCGACTTGTTAAGTTAAATGAGCTTTAGTGTGTATTCAGTGGCGGATCCCCTATGAGGCCTTGGCCCCTATGCTTTAAGTATATATATTCAGGGCAGTTTCTTTTGTTAACCCAATAACTGGTGTTAATTTTATAAATCAATGTTAGCCTTCGATTTTTAAAATCAATGGGTGAGATCAATTGTGACATATTTGTAATTAATTAAAAATAAATGATATGAACAAAGGTATTTTTAGGAGAGATGTGTAATAATTTTTTACATCAGTTACAAATCGATAATTGATCATTCCTTTTATAGTTCATAGAATCATCTTTGTTGAATTATGAACACTGATGAACATATGTGAATATATATGTAACTTATTAACTAATTTTAGCTCGTGACTTTCACATATGAACATACGGGAACACTTATGAACATTTATTTGCATCTATTAAAATCTATGAATACTACAGTAATTGGCTTTCACATGTGAACACATTAATATCTGATCAAAGTGTTTCGCTTGTGAACGCGTGCTGATCAAATGTTAGATGTATATAGATATTGTTTTATGAACACACTGGAACACATACGAACAATTATATACATCATATGAACATTGGTGAACACTTAATTTATTGGCTTTCAGTTGTGAACACAATACTTTCTGATAATAAGATCTTTAATCTTCTTGTATTGTGCTACACCGTGTTCACTCATGTTTTTTATATCTCGATTATGAATATTTATCTATCGGACATTCATCCACCACTACTATCGGACATGGGGTTAGTGTTTTTGTAACCGTCAATTAATGAATATGAAGTTAAGACAAAAAATGAAGATTACCATTGTATCCTCGAAATTGATTGCATAGTGATAGAAGAACCTAATCTAACAAAGGTTTGTGATTGGTTTAACAAAGGGGTTGTTTGATTGGTTTTCCGTTAAGTCTTGTATGAATAAATTTGTCTGTCTATTTTTGTGATAGATAGTGATCTAGTCGTCTAAATTAGTCATTCTTTATTTAATTTTACTGCTTACATTATTAGGTTGTTATATATTTAATAATTTCTTTAAAAATAAAAGACGATTAGTTTTGAATGATTCACTTTGATTTATCAAAACAATTTCTGAAAAGACTCGATGTTTAAAGAATTCATATTTTTGTCTTGTTTTAGAGTTCTAATACGTAAAACTTTGAATGGTGTTTTTATGTCATGCATGTGCGTGCACACACACACACACACACACACACACACATATATATATATATGTGTGTGTGTGTGTGTGTGTGGAGGTTCAAACGAGAACCCCTGTGATTTACGAGAACGCGAGAACAACTTAATAACCTCAAACTTTTTTAATTAATAAACTAACTTATATTAAATATAAATAAATTAATAAGGGYAGTAATGTAATTAAGTAATTTTTATAATTTTTATTTTATTTTAATTAATCATAATTATCCTTTTTTTTATGCACGTTCGTTTCCACTCTCTTCTCTCCCCTTGTGATAATTGTGTGATTGTGTAATCATAACCTATCGAAACCATGAGTAATCGTTGTGATAGATGTGTGATTGTCTAACCCTAAACCGATCGAAACCATGAGTAATCGTTGTGATAAATGTGTGATTGTCTAACCCTAACCGATCGAAACCATGATCAAATCGAGTGCGCTGTTATGATGGTGATATCACATGATTATCACACCCATATCACACCAAATCGGTTAGCCCTAGCCGAGCGGAATCCTTGTGATAATTATGTGACAATCACATGATTATCACACTCATATCACACCCAAATCACACCAAATCGTGTTGATATAAGCAATAATGTGATAATTGTGTGATAATCACACCCATATCACATGATTATCACACCTAGTCTAATCCTAACATATCGAAACCATCCGAAATCGTTGTGATAATGTCTAACATAACCCATTGAAACCATGATCAAGTCGAGTGACATTGATATCATATGATTATCACAACTAATCGATTAAAAACATGTTTAAAACGAGTAATTGTGAAAGATACCTTGAATAAACTTCTTCTTGTTGTTCGATTGTTGCATGCAATAGTTTCTCTTTGATCGATTAGGGTTCTTGATCGATTATGGTTCGTGTGTTCTTGGTCGATCACGGTCGATCACTGTTGTTTTGCGATTTGATGTTACGACTTCTAATTAAGTCTCCTTCAATTCTTAACCGTTTATTAGATAATGATAATCATGATCGTGTAATTCTGTTAAAAGATTTTAGGATGTCATTTCCATTATTACCCTTTTAATTTTAATATTTTTTGAATCTTTTTAAATTTCAATTTTAATTTTAAAAATCTTTTAATTTTATTTTTTATCACAATATGAGGTAATTGAATTGTTCTCGCGTTCTTGTAAATCACAGGAGTTCTCGTTTGAACCTTTCCCTATATATA